TGCAGCACATCTGTCTTCTTCAAAGCTGTCTGACCCCGCTCTGTCTAGTGTTCCTCTCCTTATCCGACATGTTCGATGAAAGGTAGTCTCTATTATTTCTTCTTCTGTTAATTTATCGCTCTCCTCCTGTGTCCTACAGTCTCCGATCCTCACTGTCTTTTTCTTCATTTTTCCGTCCTCCATTTTTTCTGAGACTTTTTGTTACTATTTTTGATTAAATTGACTGACTGAACTGCTCTATTGAATTTGACAAAAGTGTTCGGATTCAACACGTTATTAATAGGCAAAAAATTTGAATTGCAGCCGGTCTCGTTCCGGTCGAGCTTTGTTCGGTTTTCGACCGTTTTGTTGCTATGGCAACCACGCCTGGATTTTGACAATTTGTCTTCTCTTTTCTGTTTTTGAGAATATTCTAGAACTTTTTCACTCTGAGTTGTTACATCAGTATCATTCAGCCGACTGTACAATCAGTCGAGTGCTCTATGAAAACACTCAATTGAAGTGACCACAAATTTTTCATCCAATTTAGTTTCTGGCCAGGGTTCTCCTGTTGGTTCTCTATATAGATAATCGACTATCCCATATCTTTTCCCGGAATATGGACAATTTTGAATTGATAAGGCAATAGTCTATCTACCCATCTCGTTAATCTTAATTGATATGTTTTGCTAGACCGATTGCCTTCTAAGGCGGATGTTAATGCCTTATGATCAGTGACTATTACAAATTCTTTTCCTAATAAGTAATGTTTGAAACGATCAACTACCCACACTACCGCTAACAACTCAAGCTCATTAGTAGAATATTTTTTTTCTTGATTATTCAGGTAGCGCGATGCGAATGAAATTGGAATCCATTCATTCTTTTCTGTTTGTTGCTCTAACGATGCCCCTAGTCCACTATGACTTCCATCACATTTGACCCGAGTATCCCTAACCGGGTCATAATAATTCAGTTTAGCAATGTTTGCTACTGCTTGTTTGATTTCTTCAAATACCTCAGTGTATTCGGGTCCCCATTCGAATTTTTTTACTGGGATTGTAAAATTTTTCATTTTTTTTCTTCATTTTTCTGGCGCAATAATGGTCTAAGCTTGTCTGTCAAATTAGCTGCATTTGGTATAAACTTTGAAAGATGATTAATACTACCTAGAAAGGATCTAAGTTGTTTGAGCGACTTGGGATGCTCTAACCTAAGAATAGCTTGCGTTTTCGTAATTTTTAGGGTAACCCCACTTTCTGACAGTTTATGTCCAAGCCAATTTACTTCTGTTTTAAAGAATTCACATTTCGACAGCTTCAGGGATAAGTTTTCCTTATCTAATTTCATTAGAACGTCGGTAATTAATTTTTCATGTTCTAGCTCCGATCCCTTTGAGACGATGAATATGTCGTCCAAGAAACAAAACGTGTTCTTAGAATTATTTAACGTCCGATCCATTGCTTTTTGAAATTCGGCTGGCATATCTGCCAACCCGTAGAATCCCGTCAAAAATCGATTTGTACCCGTAGCTTTCCCCATACGATGTTGAAATTGCACTGTCTTGCAGTTTGCGGTGTCAATTTTAACTGACTATACGCATATTTCAAATCTAACACAGTGAAAAACAAGGTACCTGCTACTTGTGCAGTTACTATCTGACTGACACCGTCTTATAGCTCCTCCACATTCGGCATCTGATACTTGTTTTTGTACAATTGTCTGTTGATAGGCTTTGCATCCAGAGCCAATTTAATTGAATCATCTTTCTTCACTGTGATGACAATAGGGGCTATGAAACAATCACTAGTACACTTGTCTAACTTTTGAGTATGGCCTTCTACTAGTAATTTTTCGATTTCCTTCTCAACTTTTCCTTGCACATGGATAGGTATTATCCTCCCCTTTTCCTGAATCGGTCAGAGAGGAAACTTGAGCCTCGTACTTACTACATGATTTACTGATCGTCCTTTTCTGTCAAACAGGGGTTTGAAATCCTCATAGAATTTTTCTTTCCACGACCCCGGCTGTTCACACAGCATTATGTCAAATCGGGATTTTTCTTTCGGAGCAGGTCTTTGCGTAGTGGTTATACCCACTTTACTTTGTAAATCTAAACCTAAGATACACCATGTCCTCCGTTCAGTTATCAGAAATGCAGCATCCGGAACTTTCCATCCAGCGGACCGTTTTTTTGCCTTCACCGCACCCAATATTGCTATTGGTTTTTTATTATAGTCCACGAATTGTGCTGGCAAATTCAATTTTTCGACCGGGGTGAACTGTATTTTCCCTGACGAGTCTAAAATCTGTTTCGCCACTGTCCAATTTAGAAATGAAATTGGGCTACCGGTGTCCACTGTCATATATATTATTTGGTTATCAATTCGGATTAGGGCTTTCAATGATTTCATCCTTCCCGATGTTGAATCTTTCCGAATGTCAATTTTTTTCGTTTCGAGTTTATTTACTCCATTGCTGCCACTGTTGTCTCTTTTTTTTTCTCTTCGATGTATCGATTTATCATCTCTATCTGATTGTCTTTTTGTTCAATTGCCATAACCTCAAATTCTTCACACGAATCAAATGTTTGAATCAAATTACATTCTTCCCCCGAACTCTCTGTATTCTCAATTATTTCACTGACCTGTTGTGAACGACACATTCGAGCAAAGTGGTTTGGTTTATTACAGTTCTTACATTGTTTTCCCATTGCCTTACAATTTTTCAAATGACCATCTACAAATGGTTTGCCACACTTATTGCATTGATTCCTATCATCTGCGTTATATATTTTCGATATCGCCTTCCTATTGGCTGTTTCCGTCTATTACTTTCGCGATAGGGTTTTCTACTATTCTGATTCCTGTTTCCCACCTCCAGGATAGGTTCCTGCTTGATTTTAATTTGAGAACCTGGTTGGGTTATTGTTTTTGCAGCACCCAGTGTGGACGTCTGAAACGCCTGTGTCAATTGTTTGCTCTGCTCGAATTTTATCGCACGTTTTAACACTTCTTCAGGAGGTAATGTCTCAAACGTGAGCTTGTCCTGCAATGCTGGGCTTCGCATTTTAGAAATAAAGAGATCTCTGACTAACTCATCTTCTAAAGTGTCCAATGCCGATTTCGCTGCTTGAGCAGCTAGTGCGGCATGAAATGACTCTGACGATTCTCCCATTTCCTGCGATCTATTAAATAACTTATAACGCTCATAGGTGATACTTTGGCATTTTTCAAAAGTCTCCTTTGCTAATCTGGCCATCTCTTTAAATTCCAATTTAGAAACCTCAACATGTGGATTTTTTTGAACAAACTGTTTCTTTCCTTCCGTCCCAAACGCAAGAAAAAGCCTGGATGCTATTCGCTTTTGAACTTCGTTGTAGTAAATATAGTGACCCACTTTAGGTCCTCTTTCTCTCCTCTCTTCCTTCTCGACTGCTACTCGATCTTTTAATAGTCTGTCCCGTGCTTCTCTAGCTGCTGTTGCAGCAGCGGATTCACCCTCTCTGGGTGTTTCTGGACGGGGTTCCGGCTCCTCCAACACTGGTTTAGGATCTTCCAGCATAACTTCTGGATTGACATTTTCTTTTACAGTTACCGCCATCAGGAACTGATCGAACCATACTTTAAAATTCCAAGGTGGATCAGAGTTCGCTGTGGTCCAGAAAACAGAAATTCTCATGTCAGTTCTATTATCCTGAGCCAAAAATCCTGCTGACTGCGCCATGTGATATTCCTAAACTGCGTAGCGTGTTGTGGAAATAAAAATAAGAAGAGATACTGTTAATTTACTGTTCTTGAACTTGTCTTGTTAACAGACGTTAGTAGCTGAGGTTGGTTTCTGTTCTATAGCTTGTAATATGAAACACTGACCAACTCATCTATAAAGTTTTAGTAACACCAAATGGCCTTGACCACTCTTACATAATAATAGCATAATAAATATAGTTAGCACATATGGTTACTGCAGATGCAGTAGCTAGCAAACTGTCCTCAAGGTTATGTACTGTGGTGCGCCATAAGTGTCCCTTGTGGGGCGCCAAAATGTGCGCCTGAATCTCCACGGATTGTAAAAATATCAGATTTCAAACAATTGAATTCGAGTCTTTTATCGGCAAAATAACTCGGTAAATTTGAAAACATAACGATAAATTTCAACAAGTTTTTTTATTGTTAACATCGGTAACATCGGTAACATCGGCCACAAAAACACTGCATAACTCAAAGCAAGCTGCAAAAATGGCCAGTATTTGTCCTTGAGTCAAATTGCTCTTTTTAAAGGTCAGCCTTAATGAAGGCTGAACCAAATTAGAGCGAAAAGACGGTTAAAATAGGTTTTTTTGGGGGTCGAACCTGGTTACGGAGCATCCGATCAAGTTCGGGGCATATTTACGTGCTAGAAAGGAAATGACCTAGGCGGGATTCGAACTGGTGCCGAACCCGCCGGGACGCTCGGCTACTGTATACGCTTGGCTACTGTCCCTATAAGCATTTACATTTATACTCTTGTTTTATATTTGCGCTGCAACAAAGATGTTGCAGTTATAGAGGGTTATGAGAATCTTGAAAACTAAATCTCATTTGGAAAAACCCGCATTAAATCAAACAATTTCCAAATTTTGAAATTTTTGAATGTTTCATAATTTTAACTAAAAATGGTCAAACAACTGAAAAAGGCGAGCGTTTCCTACTATAAGAACAAAAACTTGGAGCCTTTGAGTGAAATTCATAATCAAATGCTATTTAAATTTTGGTTCTGAGTTTTTAAGGATGGTGAATGGCTATGTCACTGCTTCTCAGCCAAACGTCCTTTGATTCAAGAATTACCATGATTTGTACTCTTAGCTTACAGGTGAAGCGACATTGTGCAGCCGAAAATGAAAGTATACCAAAAAATATACAATGAATGTAGTTTTAACCAGGGGCACAACAGATGATTTACGCACTGAGTTGAAAAACTCTTAAGTTGTTCATTTCTCTCGTGGATAAATTGGTAAATAATAAGCTTAAATTTATATGCAGGAGATGTCCAGTCCGTTGGCGGAAACATCGAGCCTTTGGACTCTGTCCAATGGGAAAGGCCCAACTTCCCGAGAGCAATCACCCTTGGCAGTATTTCTTGCCCCCACCATCCCCAATTCCAGGGGGGCACTCTAGTGTACATTGGAGGACTGCAGTTGCAGTTTACAGATGAGGGGGAGGGGGGAGTTGATGAACGCGTGGGGGGAGTGGAAAAAATCCCGACAGTTTGGCTGGCCGATTCGGATACTTTGCAGCCGCGGATGGACCTGAAGATTTCTCAGTTTATTCGGCCAAGTGAACTCATAACGATGAATTTTCAGATGGCGGCACATGAAGAGGTACATCAGAACTGGGTTATTCTCGTAGCAGAGAGACCGCTGGGCCGAAATTTTTGAAACAACAAATCCTCCAAAATTTCAAAATATTTGGCGCAATTTTCGATCTTTGTTTCACTCTGCCTCAACAAATGTTCTAACCTAATTTAGAACGTTTAATTCAAAAACCTAATCTCTGTGTTCTGAAATTTAAAATTTTATTGAGACTTTTTAATAAAAAAATATGCCAAAAATGAAGCCTTGAGCAACTCTTTTGTTTAAAAAAAATGGCCCATTTTAGATAAATTAGATTTTTGGATTAAGGTTTTTATGTACTGAAATGAGTGAAAATTATCTTTCAGACTTGAAACTGGACAAAATTAGGTTAATCTTAATTATTTTTGTCAAAGAGAGGGATATTACAAACAGCTTAGAACTAATTATATTATCTCTAAATTAGGGATTAAATAAGGATTTATTAGAGTAATTATATAATCAATGAACTCAAGTACTTTCAGGTATTGGTGATTCACGTCGTAAATACTGAGAGTTTCTACATTTTCCACAATCAGCAATTCGCGTGCCGACTCAAAGCCAGAGTTGCTCCTGGAATTAGCCAGATGGAACTAAGAGCCGGCGGCCGACTGATTCTAGGCAGCGCACAAGAAGAGACCCTAAGTGTACTCATCTTATTGCAGAAAGGGGGGACTAAGTTCAAGTTCCAGGACCGACAGAGACCTAGTTGGGGTCCGGTCAGAGCTCGAAGAGGGGTGTTTGTAGTTCCCAATGACGAAGGCGACATCGTAGTTGTCGGCGATTTGGATCTCAGTGACGTCGGCAAACAACCGCCAGACGAAGTGGAAACCCGAGGGGAGGTCGAGAGTGAAAATAGAGCCACGACAGCGGCGGAGGGTTTCAGAGGGATCAAAAAAAGTCGTCTAGTCTTGTACAACTGTGCCTCTAGAAGTACTGAAGTATACGACACTTATGATAGTCCACATTATATGAGGCAGTTTGCAGGTCTTCAAGGAGGGGTTTTGCAGGGGAGAGACGAAGGCGATAAGCTGTTCTTGTTCAAACTAGACTAGACTTTTCACCATGAAAAATTCGAGCTAGGGTTTTTAGGCTCAGTCTTACCAAAGATGGTTGAAAGCGCTTCAATACTTAAATTAACGCGTTGTGAGAGCGTTGTGAATGTATCCAATTTCAACCAATCAGATTCAAGTATTTCATTTCTGTTTTCAGAATTTGACATTTTCGACTTAAGGCAGTATAAGTAAAAATGACACAAAGCTAAGCCTGTTTAAGGCCTTATACAAATCAAGACAAGACTGCTCGTAACAGGGCGTAGCCCTGAATGTTCCGACTGCTTTTTAAGGTTTATGGAGCAGCAGTTATAACATAAAAAAATTAAATGAAATAAAATAAAATGAAATTTTTTTTTCTAAAATTTGAAATTTTTTATGAAAATCATCCCCTCACACGCCATTTAAAGTACGAAAAGATAGATTTCGTTCCTTGTAACAAATCAATTTTGGCAAATAAGCTTCGTTCAACCAATTTGGAACGATTTATAAGAAGGATTAAATCTCCGCTTACGCGTTAATAGCGCGAATTTTATCGCGCGTTAATTGTCTTAAATTGGTCAAAATGGCCAAAATGGCAATCTTTAAACCCTCATAACTTTACGAAAAATGATCACAGGTAAAATATCTTTTCAAATTTAAGCTCAGGACAACAATACCTTTTGAATGATATAAAAAAATTCCATCAAAAATTGCTAGTTAAAAAGTCGAAATTTGTCTGAAGAAAAAAAACCCACCCCGAGCACAAATATTCCGTTACTTTCGTATCGAAAGTCGGAACAATAAATTAATTTAGTTGAAATAAAAGATTGTTGGCGACCTTGAGCTCTTTTAACGGTCAAAGAAAAGGCATTTTAAATTTTTTTGTGATTGGTTTTCAGCGTGAAAATGAGCCGTTTTGTGTTGTTAAACTTGTTCAAAATTGCTGATCGAAAGTGATTAAGCCAACAATTTGACATTATCTATGAAAATATATCTATGACCAATTTAATATCCTCGAACCCCTCATCCAACGCCGTTACATGCAGAGCTTAGCAAAATTAATTCAGTTTGAACGGTGTCGGATAATGTTGACTTGGTCTATTCAGGGAGGCGAGGGGAGGGGGTGGGGGAGAGACTAAAGCGGTGTAGTGCGACAACCAGAGACCTTAAACCGAGAATCGGCTAAATTTGAATCAGCAAATTGAGTTATGCCTTGTTTTTGTAATTCTTATGTCATAATATTACATAACTACTACTTTGTTGAGGTCACATTTTTTTTCTATGAAAAATAAGCCTCCAATGCAGAAAAGATTCACGTTACCTTTTTTGTCGGCTCTTTTTCCTGTGTACTGACCTTGTAACAATAACCCCTTTCGATAGAAGAAAAAAGTTTTAAAAGAAAATGAAATAAAATCACTTTGAACAATTAGGCATTGATAAATCCATTCTTATCTTAAGCGCTTTGGATGTCTTTCACCCCCATTGAGCCGAAAACTAAAAATAACATAATAAACTGCTGTAAGCAAAAATTTTTGAGTGAATAAATTTTAAATCATTGAAATCTTGTAACAAAAATTACATGAGCTTTTCATTAAAAAAATCAATAATTTCTTGCCTTTAAAGCTACACAAAACCATGTAATCAAGCGGACTAAACATAAGCCGAAAACATTTTGGCCAAATAATATTTTTAAGCGAAAAAAAAAACAAAACGAAAACCAAAAAAATGTACATCGTTTGCGCTATTAATTTACCAATTACAGGATATATTAAAAACACTTGCATCTACGATGAAAAACTCTGAAAGCACCAGGAAACTCCTTGATGCGGTAACTAACTCGACAAAACATAAGCAGACAAACGAAAGTCCAAAAATTCAAGTTTTTTTGGATTTTTTCTTCATTTTTATACAAACAAGAAAAACGAGGCCCCGCCGCGACTCTACCTCAGACCGTTTACAAAGGTAACCACGTTGCTTCTAGACCAAGTGTGAAAGATTCGTGAAGTTGCTAAGATTCAATATTGAAGCAATTTCACAATTTCTTACAGATTCGTAAAAAAAGGTTGTTTACTGGAAAATGTCTAGTTCCCGATTACAAGACACTTGCAAGTGTAATAGTAATTAGCAGAAAAGTTTTCTAATTCAAAAAGTAGATAAACTAAACAGTCGTTGAAGACTTAAGAGGCCGATTGAAAACCCCCTTAATTTTTTTTTACTGTTCTATGTAGAAGAAGTAAGGCGACAATTCGTAACAGGCGAGATTTTGTAACAGGTGACAAATGTAACAAGCGAAAATTCGTAACAACGCACTGGAAAGTAGAATACGCTTGCTCCGCTTCGCTTCGCTGTGCTTACATCCAGCTCGAGAGGAATATTGCGCGTGAATCAGTGTCACCCGCTTAACCTATTGTAACGAATTGTCGCCTGTTACGAATTTTCATCTATTACGAGTTGTCGCCTCACGTAAGAGGAAATTAATCTTCAACAATTTTCAGTAAAAAGCTGTTTTGAAGCAAATTCCATAATTTCCCTGGCGCTGCATACTCTACAGCAAAGCGACCTTGATTTGACAAGTTTGAATCGCTTTGCCGTATATTATGCTGCGCTTTGAAAAGATTTTGGAATTAGTAGAAACTAAAATGTGGTATTTTTTGTAAGATAGCATTTTGATTGAGAATTGTTAATGATTACTTTCCCTCTTTGCCAATTTTTAGTTGAATGCCGCTTGTATATCACCAGATGGTAAATTGTATTTATCGATTAAGAAACGAAAAAAATAGTACAACTTCTTGAGTGTCTTTCATAAAGAAAACATGCTATATCTGTGTTATATGAAACTTCCTTGCTTGTTGGAACTCAAAATATTCACCGCCAATACCATCATTTTAATCATATTCAACTTTGATGGTTTATCCAAGAAACTCAAATGCGCATCTGAAAATTTTCAGAAAATTGATGAATCACTGTTTCAAAAATGTGCTTTTGAGTTTTCAGCGACTCAGTTAATTTATTCCATGTTTGGCCTATAGACGATCAAGCTGGAAAAATTTATATTGAATTAGCAATTAAAAATACTAGAACTAAAATGCAAGGAGCGCACATGCACAGCATAATAATTGGGTATTTATTTAAATTTAATATAAGCAACAATTTTTCACAGGGCATTGGTTAATAAAAAGATTACAAATTAGCATAAACCAATTTTTTTTCAATATTTTGAGTTTCATCTTGCTTCAGTCTTCATCATTGTATTTGTAATTCAGAAAAGTGAGTTTTCGCAATCCGTTCAATCGTTGAAGTGGGCGGGGGTTGCGTTGGATGTTTGGGGGATTAGGTTTGATAGAGAACAACAGTTTGGGTTCAACGGATCTTCACACATGGGATCCTTACATTTGGGTTGCATGGGCGCCATTAATGGCTCTTCTCATATAAACATAATTTTGTAGTCACTGATCCTCCAAATTAGTATGGTAATGAAAATATTCTCCGAAACTTTAGCGTTTTAATGTCACAATTAGTTCAAAGTATTGTTCAGTAGTAGAGATTAGGACCATGTGAATTATCCAGGTGTTTAGACGAAGGAAAAGTCCCCGCACCTCCTCCCCCTCCTACGACCATTCCGGCCCTGGATACCACCCCTCCCGATGTTCGCAGCAGACCACCTCCTGATGGGGGCGAGTGTTGTTTGTGATGGGCGGCCGCATTCGTGATGCTCTGCTTAAGTGATTGGGCACTGATGAACGGCTGAGTCTGAAAATGAAAAACATTAAAAGGAGTTCATTATAAAATTTAATGGAAAAAAATCAATTATAACATTTAGGGATTCATAAAAAATGACAAACTATCAGTCAAAAGAGGAATCTTAAAACCTGTCTAGGAATTTTGATCACTCCTAAAGAAGATCATGGGTTATAGATTCAAGTATTTCATTTCTGTTTTCAGAATTTGACATTTTCGACTTAAGGCAGTATAAGTAAAAATGACACAAAGCTAAGCCTGTTTAAGGCCTTATACAAATCAAGACAAGACTGCTCGTAACACTGCTGTTCCGACTGCTTTTTAAGACTGTTCCGACTGCTTTTTAAGGTTTATGGAGCAGCAGTTATAACATAAAAAAATTAAATGAAATAAAATAAAATGAAATTTTTTTTTCTAAAATTTGAAATTTTTTATGAAAATCATCCCCTCACACGCCATTTAAAGTACGAAAAGATAGATTTCGTTCCTTGTAACAAATCAATTTTGGCAAATAAGCTTCGTTCAACCAATTTGGAACGATTTATAAGAAGGATTAAATCTCCGCTTACGCGTTAATAGCGCGAATTTTATCGCGCGTTAATTGTCTTAAATTGGTCAAAATGGCCAAAATGGCAATCTTTAAACCCTCATAACTTTACGAAAAATGATCACAGGTAAAATATCTTTTCAAATTTAAGCTCAGGACAACAATACCTTTTGAATGATATAAAAAAATTCCATCAAAAATTGCTAGTTAAAAAGTCGAAATTTGTCTGAAGAAAAAAAACCCACCCCGAGCACAAATATTCCGTTACTTTCGTATCGAAAGTCGGAACAATAAATTAATTTAGTTGAAATAAAAGATTGTTGGCTACCTTGAGCTCTTTTAACGGTCAAAGAAAAGGCATTTTAAATTTTTTTGTGATTGGTTTTCAGCGTGAAAATGAGCCGTTTTGTGTTGTTAAACTTGTTCAAAATTGCTGATCGAAAGTGATTAAGCCAACAATTTGACATTATCTATGAAAATATATCTATGACCAATTTAATATCCTCGAACCCCTCATCCAACGCCGTTACATGCAGAGCTTAGCAAAATTAATTCAGTTTGAACGGTGTCGGATAATGTTGACTTGGTCTATTCAGGGAGGCGAGGGGAGGGGGTGGGGGAGAGACTAAAGCGGTGTAGTGCGACAACCAGAGACCTTAAACCGAGAATCGGCTAAATTTGAATCAGCAAATTGAGTTATGCCTTGTTTTTGTAATTCTTATGTCATAATATTACATAACTACTACTTTGTTGAGGTCACATTTTTTTTCTATGAAAAATAAGCCTCCAATGCAGAAAAGATTCACGTTACCTTTTTTGTCGGCTCTTTTTCCTGTGTACTGACCTTGTAACAATAACCCCTTTCGATAGAAGAAAAAAGTTTTAAAAGAAAATGAAATAAAATCACTTTGAACAATTAGGCATTGATAAATCCATTCTTATCTTAAGCGCTTTGGATGTCTTTCACCCCCATTGAGCCGAAAACTAAAAATAACATAATAAACTGCTGTAAGCAAAAATTTTTGAGTGAATAAATTTTAAATCATTGAAATCTTGCAACAAAAATTACATGAGCTTTTCATTAAAAAAATCAATAATTTCTTGCCTTTAAAGCTACACAAAACCATGTAATCAAGCGGACTAAACATAAGCCGAAAACATTTTGGCCAAATAATATTTTTAAGCGAAAAAAAAACAAAACGAAAACCAAAAAAAATATTTATCGTTTGCGCTATTAATTTACCAATTACAGGATATATTAAAAACACTTGCATCTACGATGAAAAACTCTGAAAGCACCAGGAAACTCCTTGATGCGGTAACTAACTCGACAAAACATAAGCAGACAAACGAAAGTCCAAAAATTCAAGTTTTTTTGGATTTTTTCTTCATTTTTATACAAACAAGAAAAACGAGGCCCCGCCGCGACTCTACCTCAGACCGTTTACAAAGGTAACCACGTTGCTTCTAGACCAAGTGTGAAAGATTCGTGAAGTTGCTAAGATTCAATATTGAAGCAATTTCACAATTTCTTACAGATTCGTAAAAAAAGGTTGTTTACTGGAAAATGTCTAGTTCCCGATTACAAGACACTTGCAAGTGTAATAGTAATTAGCAGAAAAGTTTTCTTATTCAAAAAGTAGATAAACTAAACAGTCGTTGAAGACTTAAGAGGCCGATTGAAAACCCCCTTAATTTTTTTTTACTGTTCTATGTAGAAGAAGTAAGGCGACAATTCGTAACAGGCGAGATTTTGTAACAGGTGACAAATGTAACAAGCGAAAATTCGTAACAACGCACTGGAAAGTAGAATACGCTTGCTCCGCTTCGCTTCGCTGTGCTTACATCCAGCTCGAGGGGAATATTGCGCGTGAATCAGTGTCACCCGCTTAACCTATTGTAACGAATTGTCGCCTGTTACGAATTTTCATCTATTACGAGTTGTCGCCTGTTACGAATTTTCATCTATTACGAGTTGTCGCCTCACGTATGAGGAAATTAATCTTCAACAATTTTCAGTAAAAAGCTGTTTTGAAGCAAATTCCATAATTTCCCTGGCGCTGCATACTCTACAGCAAAGCGACCTTGATTTGACAAGTTTGAATCGCTTTGCCGTATATTATGCTGCGCTTTGAAAAGATTTTGGAATTAGTAGAAACTAAAATGTGGTATTTTTTGTAAGATAGCATTTTGATTGAGAATTGTTAATGATTACTTTCCCTCTTTGCCAATTTTTAGTTGAATGCCGCTTGTATATCACCAGATGGTAAATTGTATTTATCGATTAAGAAACGAAAAAAATAGTACAACTTCTTGAGTGTCTTTCATAAAGAAAACATGCTATATCTGTGTTATATGAAACTTCCTTGCTTGTTGGAACTCAAAATATTCACCGCCAATACCATCATTTTAATCATATTCAACTTTGATGGTTTATCCAAGAAACTCAAATGCGCATCTGAAAATTTTCAGAAAATTGATGAATCACTGTTTCAAAAATGTGCTTTTGAGTTTTCAGCGACTCAGTTAATTTATTCCATGTTTGGCCTATAGACGATCAAGCTGGAAAAATTTATATTGAATTAGCAATTAAAAATACTAGAACTAAAATGCAAGGAGCGCACATGCACAGCATAATAATTGGGTATTTATTTAAATTTAATATAAGCAACAATTTTTCACAGGGCATTGGTTAATAAAAAGATTACAAATTAGCATAAACCAATTTTTTTTCAATATTTTGAGTTTCATCTTGCTTCAGTCTTCATCATTGTATTTGTAATTCAGAAAAGTGAGTTTTCGCAATCCGTTCAATCGTTGAAGTGGGCGGGGGTTGCGTTGGATGTTTGGGGGATTAGGTTTGATAGAGAACAACAGTTTGGGTTCAACGGATCTTCACACATGGGATCCTTACATTTGGGTTGCATGGGCGCCATTAATGGCTCTTCTCATATAAACATAATTTTGTAGTCACTGATCCTCCAAATTAGTATGGTAATGAAAATATTCTCCGAAACTTTAGCGTTTTAATGTCACAATTAGTTCAAAGTATTGTTCAGTAGTAGAGATTAGGACCATGTGAATTATCCAGGTGTTTAGACGAAGGAAAAGTCCCCCCACCCCCTCCTACGACCATTCCGGCCCTGGACACCACCCCTCCCGATGTTCGCAGCAGACCACCTCCTGATGGGGGCGAGTGCTGTTTGTGATGAGCGGCCGCATTCGTGACGCTCTGCTTGAGTGATTGGGCACTGATGAACGGCTGAGTCTGAAAATGAAAAACATTAAAAGGAGTTCATTATGACATTTAATGAAAAAAAAAATCAATTATAACATTTAAGGATTCATGAAAAATGACAAACTATCAGTCAAAAGAGGAATCTTAAAACCTGTCTAGGAATTTTGATCACTCCTAAAGAAGATCATGGGTTATAGCAAAAAACGGTAAAAAAACTGTCACAAGAAACCGTCCGCACCGACAAGAATTTTCGATTTGTAGAAAGGCGAATTAAATTTTTTCTTTGAGGTTTTCTTACCACAACAGTCTTATAATTCGGCAACTCTATCTTTTGCACGTGATTTTGCGTCGCCGAAGTTTCACGGACGGGGGAGAACACATAGTCGTCCGCTCCTCCAGTTGTGTACAGGACTCTCGGGAGTGTCTGCGCATGAACTGTGACTGCTTGTCTGCTCGGCTTTGGTCTCGGAAGGGATCCGTAGCCAGCATCACTAGGCTTCCCATTATAATGTGGTCCTCCAGAGTTGCTGTGCCTCAATGATCCGTACCAGGCAGGGTTCCCATTTGCTTGCGGACCACTTTCTCGAGGAACTATTCTTTTGAACACGGGGGACATAGTATGTCCCTGACTGGGACTCGAAACGAGGTGCTCGTCATAATCATGGCCTCCTCCGCTTCTATCCCATTCCAGCACCGATGGTCTTGCGCGTCGGAACTCATAACGACCAGGCGCCGGAGGAGCTGAAGATGTCATGCTCCTATTAGTGTGTCTATGGTATCCACCGCTGTAGCGAGTTCCATGACCACTTGGACCATTGTGCAATCCGGGCACCTAATAAGAGAAACGGTTGATCAATAAATCAGCTAGCTGATAGATCAAATCTAAGCGTTCAAATTACAACTAAACTGTTAGCTACTACCTTATTGTTCCGACAGCAAGGCCAATTATTACAAAAATCGCTTTCAACTAGGATTTGAGCTGCAATGAGGGAGCCTCCTAAAGTCATGGATTCCTATCTAATTATTTTTAAAAAAAATTCTTACACATTTTTTCATATTCTTACACATTTTTTCGAAAGTGGTTTTATTCGGATTATTTTGTGCTACTTGCATATCTAGTAAATGCCCTTGACATCAAAACTACTACCAAATATCGACTGGTACGAAATTTTCTGTGGTGAATTGTAAGTTCGGCAGCAAAAACTTTTTATCTTTTCTATTTTCGAGAAGCTCAATAGAATTGAAATGATTTTAATTACGACGACACCAAAAAACAGCCAACATCGAATATATATACATGCATACACTGGATTGTGCTCATTGGATTGAATTATATATATTTCAATCCCCAACCGAGTTACTTTTTTGAACATTAATCTTTGACTAATATTTTTTGTGAATTTTTCTTTTCCTCAAAAGGCAGTTTGTACATGCCCCCGAAACAAAAAAAAACTGCTTAATTTTCACGGAAAAATACAAAGATACGCGTTCAAAAAGAAGCCTGGTGAATTGGAAATTTACTTAGCGATATACTTGGATTGAAAAGAGATGATGATTTGCGTAGATATTTCAAACTATTTGAAAGCAAAAATGAGATCTACATTTAATTTTTGCTTGAAGTAGGCTGTGTGTTGCAATAAAAGAACTGCAATGAAAATTTTTTTGAAAGCATGGTATTCTCGGTGTTTTTTTTGTTTACCCTCTGAAACTACAACTTACGAAAGAACAGCATATGAAAACTTGAGTATCCAAAATAAATATGTTTATACACAGCTTCTCGCTTAGTTTCATTTAAAGAAAAGAGAGAAATATAGGTTTGGGATATTTTTTTATTCAGACCAGTTTCAAAAAAAAATAAATGCTACTTGGGGATTGATCCCTGGACCTACGAAGGACACGCCGTGTGCAAACGCCACTTTTTTTTAAACATAACGCCAGACAAAGAAAATTGTCGGTTTATATTTTGATGCTGAAAGTGAAACGTGAAATATTTACGAGTGACGAATAATCCCGCACTGCAAAATCATTCAGAAATGAAATGAGGCAAGCTAATAAGCTTCATTAACTCCATGCACATATCAAAATTCAGCAGTTAAATTTTGATTTAATCAACCTGAAACTCATGGTTTTTCAATATTTCATTTACCAAAAACTATTCGAAACCAGTTAAAGGACAGTCAGGTCACTCAGGGTTTTGCCCTGATAAAAGGAGTCGTAAGGATTACAAAAAGAGACAAACCGTTAACGAGAACAGTGAGTGTGAAACAGGGTTGTGATTGTTTATATGCGCGTTTTGGCTGATCAAAAAACTTCTCTGACATTTAAAATGAGCATTTTGGATCAAAATTATTTGTTTTAATAACTATAAAACGTTTTCTTTATCCGTTTTGCTCCCATTTTCTACAAAAACGAAAAATTGATCGTGCTCAGGGTTGGTTTTTCTTCAGACCAATTTCGAAATTTGATTTAAAATTGTTAGATTTTTTTACCATCTAAAAAATGTTAATCATTTGGGCTCAAAATTGTTTTAGTATTTGATGTGTCATTATTTCTCGTACAACTATGAGATTTTACAATGCGGGATAAAAACGCATAATGAAGTTTTTCAGACCATCTGATTAAAATCAATGAGCTGTGCTCAAGTGCAAAAGATTCTTAACCTGGATCTATTTTGTCTGAAGTTATAGGGGCTCGAATTTGCGACTACTCTGGCAATTATGGGATAATTAAAGCGCCTGAAACTTCCATTTTTTATTAGCGCGTAGCAAATGCAGGGAATTGATTCAGCTCGGAAATTATTTCAACTTGTGTTGAAGCGCGATAATTAATCCAAACAATGTGTTAATAGATGCGAAATTTATCACGCTGAGTATGGTGGGATTTTAAAAAAAAAATCACTTTTTTCGTCATTGTTTATTAAAATTTAATTGATATTTTTAAACAAAATTTAATTCAAACACCCTACAGGACAGCCGAAACGTTCCAATTTTTCCCCGGATACGGGCGGCGGTCTTTTGTACCTTCGAAGTATAAATCTAGGAAACTTTAAATTTTGAAGAAAAAAAAATTGCCAACCGTGATTTGTTTCACTTTACCTTGGGTTTGATCTGATCTCTCCAAGATCTCCTCTCGAACAGAGCCTTCGACTGCTGCACGGACAGCGTGTGACTATCATCAATGCTGTCCTCTGGCACAAAATGGTATTGAGGAGGGGCGGGGCCAGAGACTGTCATGAACCCATTTCTCCCACCATGGGGAGACCCCTCGTACCCACCGTGGTAACCTTTGGGTGAGGTTTGAGGGGGGCTAAGGTAGGATGGTCGGTCGTAGCTTTTTCCGCGTACTGGGACACGCTAAAAAAATGAAAATAAAGGCGTTAGTATGATTGACTTGTTTTTCAAATTGCAGCCAATTTACTTAGTTTGTAAACTGATTTGGCGCTAATGCTTAAACAATGGAAAATTTTGGAGCATTAGTACCAGAAAGTGGAAAAATTTCCAAAGAGTTTTCAAATGTTTTGTCGAACTTTTTTCTAATGTTGACCAAATTGATTTTTCGAGCTTTTGAAGCCTCAAAAATACTTTTTTGGCCAAATTGCCTGCGGCGCAAAACTGCCGTTTTTAGGAATTTTTTCGAAAAATTTGACCCAAAATCGCGCACCAAAGGCCCCTTTAGAAAATGTTTATGGTTGCTGGGTTAAAAATGGATGTCATAAAATAATACCAAAGGGGGACCCTTTGGTTGATGAGGGGTCGAATCGCTGAGGGAATAAACGTCTACCCAAACCCCACCCCCCCCCCCCCCAAATCCGCCCTGGTCGACAAAGTTTTTCACACGAGAAAAAACGTTTGCAAGCTAATTTTTCTCCACACGCCACTGTGTAATACAGTTAACGGCTTCCCTATAGACTGACCTCTTCAGAGTAGTATGTGGCAGTAGGCTGGGGCTGGGGGGTCATACTTCGCATCATAATGGGAGGGGCCGGGGGGCGCATCGACTGTTTAGACCTCACTACAGTAGACTGTTTTTGTGTGGTTGCAAGTGTGCGGATAGTACTTGTGCTGCTGTTTTTCGGATGTACGCCGCCGACTCCTTTGTTGGTCTGGAAAACGTAAGTGGTGACATTGACTTTGTTCCAGGGGTCGGATCCCCTCTGTTCCAGGTGATGGAATACTTCCGGCTCCACCCGCTCGCCCAAACTGCTCACCGCTCTCATATTTATTCCGGGTCAAACTCACTCTGCACAAAACTACAAATTAAGTGGCTGTTCATGGCTCAAATATACACCCATAATGAGGTTGGAAACCAACCCCCCCCCCCATTTCACGACTAAGGGGAGGGGTGTTGGTTGATTACAGAGATTTGTGCCACTTGAGGTAGAAACCGAAAGACTTCGAAAGACTTTTCACATGACATGTTGCGTTTTCTCAATATCTGTTGACCAAACACTTTTCTGTTTGAAAATGCATTAAATCTGTACTGCAAAATTTACGTATAGTATAAAACACTTAACGTGCAAAGGTTACTTATTATGTAAAGGCCGCCGGTTAATTGTGATTAAGTTACAGTTTTTTACGTGAATGAAATGTAACTTTTACATAAACTCGAGAAAAAAGTCGAGAAAGCAAAAATTTGAAGAATTTTTTATGCTTCGAAAAATATTTTTGAAAAGGAGCTAAATTCATGCAATTCATTCAACTGAATTTTTCAGATTGGTGTAGTTTCTGTTCTGACTTGTTTACTTTAATCGAAAATGTACATCAAATTGCTAGCTTTTGCAACTTTTTCGATTTTGCTGATGAGCTTACTAGTTGAAACAGCAAACATTAATGAAGAAAACTCTGCCCAGTTCAAGAGACAAAGAAGACAGGAACAAGGAACTGCAAGAAGAGCAGGGCTTGTGACGAGAGAAAATGCTCACGAGGAAAATCCTGCCCAGTTCAAGAGACAGAGAAGACAGGAAGAAGGAAATGCAAGAAGAGCAGGGCTTGTGACGAGAGAAAATGCTCACGAGGAAAATCCTGCCCAGTTCAAGAGACAGAGAAGACAGGAAGAAGGAAATGCAAGAAGAGCAGGGCTTGTGACGAGAGAAAATGCTCACGAGGAAAATCCTACCCAGTTCAAGAGACAGAGAAGACAGGAAGAAGGAAATGCAAGAAGAGCAGGGCTTGTGACGAGAGAAAATGCTCACGAGGAAAATCCTGCCCAGTTCAAGAGACAGAGAAGACAGGAAGAAGGAAATGCAAGAAGAGCAGGGCTTGTGACGAGAGAAAATGCTCACGAGGAATATCCTACCCAGTTCAAGAGACAGAGAAGACAGGAACAAGGAAATGCAAGAAGAGCAGGGCTTGTGACGAGAGAAAATGCTCACGAGGAAAATCCTACCCAGTTCAAGAGACAGAGAAGACAGGAAGAAGGAAATGCAAGAAGAGCAGGGCTTGTGACGAGAGAAAATGCTCACGAGGAAAATCCTACCCAGTTCAAGAGACAGAGAAGACAGGAAGAAGGAAATGCAAGAAGAGCAGGGCTTGTGACGAGAGAAAATGCTCACGAGGAAAATCCTACCCAGTTCAAGAGACAGAGAAGACAGGAAGAAGGAAATGCAAGAAGAGCAGGGCTTGTGACGAGAGAAAATGCTCACGAGGAAAATCCTACCCAGTTCAAGAGACAGAGAAGACAGGAAGAAGGAAATGCAAGAAGAGCAGGGCTTGTGACGAGAGAAAATGCTCACGAGGAAAATCCTACCCAGTTCAAGAGACAGAGAAGACAGGAACAAGGAAACGCAAGAAGAGCAGGGCTTGTGACGAGAGAAAATGCTCACGAGGAAAATCCTACCCAGTTCAAGAGACAGAGAAGACAGGAAGAAGGAAATGCAAGAAGAGCAGGGCTTGTGACGAGAGAAAATGCTCACGAGGAAAATCCTACCCAGTTCAAGAGACAGAGAAGACAGGAAGAAGGAAATGCAAGAAGAGCAGGGCTTGTGACGAGAGAAAATGCTCACGAGGAAAATCCTACCCAGTTCAAGAGACAGAGAAGACAGGAAGAAGGAAATGCAAGAAGAGCAAGGCTTGTGACGAGAGAAAATGCTCACGAGGAAAATCCTACCCAGTTCAAGAGACAGAGAAGACAGGAACAAGGAACTGCAAGCAGAGCAGGAATCATGACGAGAGAAAATTCTCACGAGGAAAATCCTACCCAGTTCAAGAGACAGAGAAGACAGGAAGAAGGAACTGCAAGAAGAGCAGGGATCGTGGCGAGAAAAAATGCCCATGTTATCTGAAGTGATAAAAAATGTACGCCATCTGACTGGAACTCAAAAATCAGCGCTGAAAACAAGAAATCACAAGCGACAGACGGAACATTGATCAGACCCAAAAAAAACATCAGACTCAGACTCAAACTATCACACTTTTTAAATCACTTGAAATATATATGTGCTTAAAATAACACATTGAGATTTGAAGAAAGTTTGCTAAGAAGTTTGGTTAGGCCACATATGATTATCCCAAATTGGTAATTTTCAAACCCCATGGTTTCAGGAATAGAATAACAGATTGAAAAATTTTAATCTTGAGCCCATGGTCTTAAAAATTGTCTGACTGCATATATAACTTCCGTCATAATTGCTAGTTAAAAGTCAAGTAAAGTCTCTAGAAAAAAAATGACACCAAACAAAAAAATATTCCGTCACTTTCTTCAAGCTTGAAATTTGAGTTTTGATCCTGCTAATAGCTGAATACTGGCGGATGACACAAAACAATCAATTTCAGTCGCGGGAGAATTTTTTACTCTTGACATGAGGCCTATAATTTTGAGATAATTCTCAAGAAAACTTGTCTTCACTCCAAGAAAAGCAAAATTTCAAATTTTCTATAGTTTTCTGCTGCGAGTAGTATATCTTGCCAATGAGAATAGTCCGTAAATTAAGTCTTGAAGCTCACAAAAATCTTCATTTATCAAAGTCAAGTCTACCATTCTATCAAGTCTACCAAAACGCTAATAACTATAACAAAAACTGCTCAACCGCGCTTACTCTAATTGCCTGCAATTAGCGTAAGGGCGGTTCAGCTATTTTTTTAAATAGCTATTATCGTTTTCAAATAACAAACACAAATATATTCGGAGGCGGTTCAATAAAAAAATCGATGGAATAAAAGAGAAAGCCATTATCGTTTTTCGCTTAAAAATTTTATGATTTGAGCAAATACTTCGAAATTACATAAAAGAATAGATGTACGCATTAACTAAAAAAGAAAAACTTAAAGCTTTGTTCTTGTCTTTCATTCACAGTTGGTTTTCTTTGGACAAATGAATACCTATAACATAAAAAATAGTAGGTCAAAAATAGTTCAAGGTTATGACAGAGGTTTGAAGTATCTTGAAATCTTGAAAATGAGACTAAAAAATTTGTAGAAACATGATATAATAAACGACAGGTTTTGAATTTGGCTCATAAAATAATTAAAAGTATACATTACATTATAATTTTAGCTTTCTATTTTTTTTATGGATTTCTTAGAAATTAAAATAATTTCAGTCAGGTGTCTTTTTAAATTCTGTTTTTTTTTTGTCTTAGAAAAACTTTTTAAAGCATCTTTTTAAGATTTTTCAGCAAAACAACAAAATATTCAATGCATTGTTGTTTTGCCCAATCAACTAGGAAACGAGTTTTTCAAACAAAAGAACTCTCCTGTTTGTCAAATTGTTTTATTTCTGAACCTTTATTTCTGAAGTCCTTCTAAAAGCTTTAAAACTCTTTAAAAAACTTTGCTTTTTATTCGTAATACATTTGGTTCAGCATTTTAATAATTTGCATTCAAAAAGGTTCAAAATTAATTAGAAAACGAGAATTTATTTATCAATAATCAGAAACAGCATGACAATTTACAGCAAATCGCTACAGGTGATAAAACTGTTGATTAGTAAAGCACTTGAAAAAGCTAACAAGGCTCATTATAGAGCTGGTACAATCAGTGCTCCATCCTTTTCAATTTTATTGCAAAGCTACTACAAAAACCTTGTAAAATACAAAATGATATGTTATTTATCTTCTAATGAATCAATTAGACCAAATAACTGGCCAAACAATAATTTAGATTTTTTCTCAATCGGATTGTTTTCTCTATTAAGCGATGATGATTTAGAACAAAAAAACTGTGCATTAATTAAAAATTGCAAGACCCTAATATTTTACCCTAATATTTCAACATGGGGAAAAAATAATTAATTCAAAAATTTTGAACCTAGGGCAACAACATGTCAACATTTTCCAAACAGAAAAAACAAATACATGATAAACGTTAAGTTGAAAAGTGTCATGAAAGACCAACCCAAGCATAAGTATTCTGTATCTGTCATCGAAAATCAAAAGTCACAACACTACTTTAAGTTACTAGTTTAGTTCAAGAAAGATATTCTCCAATGAAATATATCAAGTAATTTTAGTAAGAACATCACTGCTCATACATCATGACAAGGCCTGAATAATCCGACAGCCCCTTAATCAATATCAAAAACTTTTTGCGAAAAGAAAACATTAAAACTCTATAAACTTGAGACAAAATCAAAGATCAAGAGTGAAAAAACTTGAGTCGTTAAAACTAATACGACCAATAAGCTAGCCTCAATTCTTATTGGAAGATTTTTTGTTCTGCGGGATAGTTTGCTACGCTTTACGCTCTCAGCTTTATATATATTTTAAAGAAAAAGAGAAAAAAGAAAAAACTTTTATCTAGGATCAGATTCAAAATCACTTTGAAAATTTTTAAATCTGAAAACATCAATGCTTTCAAACGGACTACGAGTTGTTGTTTTTTTTCAAGTGCACTAGATAGAAAATTAATCAAAATTGCATTAAGAAAAAACACCGAGTTTATATTTTCCATTTCAAAAGTCAAAACAGACGTTATTGAGCGTGTGATCATTAGCTGTACATACGAAACAATATTAGATCAACAATGGGTGAATAGAAGCAAAATTGAATAACTGGTCAACAAAAAGAAATAAATTGTTTTTAAAAAATAACAAAAAAACTGAAGTTTTGAAAAAAAAAATTTTTCCAGGTTTTTATTGGAAAGTTTATTGAGAACGAAGAAAAATACTGAATATAAAACACTCGAAATTATTGTTTCTTACTTAAGCAAGTGTAGGTGCAGTAAACGGTAGCGCGCAAGAAATATAACAGTAGTGCAACTTACCAACTTTCTGAAGGCAGAGCATATCTGCCTACATATCAGTAGCGTGCCAAGGGTGGTCGGAGTGAGCGATTTATCCCCCCTCAATTCTGATTACCAAATTTTTCAAAGGGTTCTCCCTTTTCCATAACTTTACGAGATGCGTTTGCATTTTTGGCCGATCAACAAAAATTTTCTTTAAGGTGAAGCGCGCGCCGAAACAACGCAATTTTTTGGTTAAATTATTTTAAAAAATGCTCAAAACCTCATTTTTAGCCTGTTTTTTTTCTTCAAAATTAGAGTTTTTATAGTATTTTCGGGGAGTTTGGAAAACAAATTGGTCGATCTAAAAAGTTAACAAAATTTTCTTCCCTAGAAAAGTTTCTGCGCACGCCACTGCTGCATATTTAATTATGCAAAATCCAGATTCAATACAATTTTGCAAATGACAAAATGTTCGTCATTTCAACTCTTTTTGCTCAACCCCTGACCATCAAAAACTTACCTTTGTGGTTCAATTTTATCATACCTTCTTAAGCTGAACAAGGCTTGTGCTAAAGAAAGTAAAAAAACGCCTAAAAAGGTTTTTCGACCTGTTTCTTTTGTAAAAAAACGGCTGCAGCGCTTAAATGTCTCTATAAAAATAATGAAAAAAATGAGAATATGCTTTGCTTCATCTGTCTCAGCTAAAATATCGCCCAAGTTCAATTTCGAACATATTAAATTATCAATAGCACAGCGTAAGAATTTTCTGCCGAAAATTTTGAATTTCTAAAATTTTGAATTTCTAGTAGTAAAATGGATTGAAGCTATTGGGAGCTGATTTTCTAGGAATTCACATCACGAACGCGACAAAGCAATCTGCTACAAGAAAGGAACATCCCGCAAAGTAGAGCTCAAGGAGAAGTTGCACTTAGCATACACAGGCAGTAAGAAATATCTGTTGAACTGGTGTATTCTAAACTAAGTATAAGTTTCGCTCATGTAGGATTCGATCAGCCACAAAGATTCTCAGACTTATCGGGCAGCCGAAAGCCTGCTTGTGTGAGGTGGGGAAAAAAAGAGCCCAAAAATCATCACACGGTTTACTGGAAGCTTAGCAGCAAAAAAGATTTGGTAACAATTTTGTACTGCTATAGCTGAAAACTTACAAGTGCTTTCAAGGTAAATTATCAACAGAATATATTCAAATCAGACTGAATATTTGAGAAAAAATTTCTGCCGCGAATGAACTGACTAAACAGTACATTTTTCAGACTTTTTCTTGGTTCCAATGTAACTAACTTTCAAAAAATCATATGTGAACAAGAAAAAACTATATGACCCGTTGCATATAAATTTGAACGCTCCGCATATCTCAAAATTAATCGAGAAAAACTTACCCCTGCAAAAACGGATGTACGAGTAATGCAGATAAAAACCGAAAGCTACTTTAGTTAACACTCAGTTTGGCTAAATATGAGAAAATCTAATGGCAAAACAAGTTTTTTGAAAGAGAAACTAGTAGTTTTGGCGTCCACTAGTTTCTGTTATTTTCCAAAGTCTCAATAACAGTTCAACTATGGTATTTGTTAAATTTCGGCACTAATAACCTAATCACAATTTTTCTAACATGAAAAACAATGTTTCTAGTAAAAATTTCTAATTTTCCTAGAATTTTACTTTGCAGTTTCAGAACTCAAACGGCAATGAAAACTGAAACGATTTTTGAAGCTTTGCAAGAACTCAAAGCAATTATTTCGGGATTGTGTCCTCAAGGAATAGAAGTCGTGGTGGGGAGGGGACCCAACGTATTCTAAAAAGTGCAACTCTGAACAAATAGTTGCAAGCAAACACTTTAAGAAACTGATATTGAACTTTTTTTGGCCAAAGATTTGTATCTCAAAAAATTTTAATAAATGTAAATATTTTAAAAAATAATTATTTGAATGAAATATAGGCTGTTCATTTTTTCCTAAATTTTTTTAAAATAACTTTATCCTCAGTTTATTTTCAAAGCACGATTTCAGTTTTAGTTTTGCCAATTCCCTCATGACTACTTAAACCTTTCGAGCATCAAATAAAATTTTTGAAAGGTCATTTTGGCGCTTCTATTTTAGTATAGTAG